TTTTGCAAATTAACTATTTACTATATGATTCTCAGATTTTGGTGAGATGCTCGTGACTTTGTGTTCTCTTTCACTACACTAGCCGCTACCCATCTTCGCTTTTAATTTGCCCCTCCGTTTGTTGATGAGATGCTGGAAGTAGAAATAATAGACATATATGGGGAAGAGTAACAGTTTAATAATCCTGTATGTTTCCAAATATATGATGAAATCTAAACACGAACCAGTGATTTGGTAGACGTCAGAGGCATCCATGATACTATTTCTTGGAAAGAAGTCATCCTATTTCAATCGTCTTAACAGGGTTTTCAGGAATTCCTAGTCTGTATGTTTCCAGAGCCTATATTGACTAGTCTTTTTGTAAAGGAATACTATCATAGGGGTAGACAGTATTGTTGACATCGTCGACAACAATTTCGTGATCACTTTCTCTAAATTCTGATTATTTCTACAGACACTGGAATAATATTTCTACCGAAGATAAGATCTAGGATGGTATGACATATTGTTGACCATGATCTGCAATGGATTTCACGTGTTGTAATAATTCAATAATACATAGCTGTTACTACCAGTTGTCCAGTATATTCAATGGTAACTGAATTTTTCTGTAATGACTTACTAAATTTTATAATAGAATCTTATCTAAATTCAATAGTGATATGATCATCAACTATAATCGAAGTGTCTGGAGTTCCGTATACACAACCAGTGAGTTCGAGATGTTAATTCAGACTCAAAACGACTCAGATAAACTGTTACGTACACTGCCTTCAACTTGTTGGGCAATTCAGGGTGAATATAAGGTTATGATTTTGTTCCAGTGTCCAGGCGTTTGCATTATAGTTCAAATAAGTTGTAGAGCAAGAGGGACCATAGATTAGTATAGATTGAAATTACCATTATATGGGCAATAAAAATTTATATGTTCGTATTGATTTGTCACATATTTAGGAAGAACATGGAATCGTTAGTGTTGAGGAATAAATGGCGCATAATCTGAGAGCCCTTCTTATACATAACTGGTAAATTTACGAGTAGTTTTATAATCACCAGCAGATTCTGTATAAAACAATTGTGGAATTAAACTTTGGATAGATTAATTTCATGTAGTCACTCTAGTATTTCTTTTAGGTTCACTTATATTCCTGTCATGGAGGACTTAATATGAATCATGAAGTTTTCATTGTTCTTCGTGAATGCTTAGTTCAATTATGTTTGATCATTTTAGAATATTATTTCGCAATACCCTTTTGTTCTGACGACCCTTGTTATATCTGGTTGTTCTTGTACCTACATCATCTTTATATGTCTTTGCATTCTTGATAACCGCTATGTTTGAATAAACTTGGCCATGTGTTCCATGATGATGGATGAGTAGAATCTATATTGAATTGTCCACTGATCATATATTGGTCGGGATGCTATACTTCTGTTAGCTTTTTGATATTATTAAAGTTGTTTCTGTTTACATAGGAGGTAACACATCATACTATCCTTCTGTTAGCTTGTTTGTGTATGTTTAAGAGAAATGTAGTGCTTTTTAATTTTGCTTTATATGATTCAGGCTTTATACAAGCTAATAGATATCTGAACTCCCTTTCCTAGTGGATATAGAGTCGGAGTTGAAAGCTATAGGTACTGTACTCGAGTCTTAGTTTAAAGATCAACACCAGGGTATTGATACATTCAGTTGACAAGTTCTAAAGTAAGATAAAATGATCAACACAATCCACCAGTACGGATGAAGATGGACATGTAAATGTTTTAAATTAGGAAAAATAGCGTTATTAACATTCATTCACATAACCTTAATATCTTATTCATGAATTAATAAGAGATACATAATATTATGAACTTATGAATTACATGTCTTTGTTTTGTATGAGTATGCCATTCTATCGAAATGAACAATTTGGATGACTCTCTCGGTGTCTCACATTGTACGAACATTCCATGTACCTAAATTAATGGTTGCTCTGGTTGTCAGAAGGGGCATCAACCCATGACTTCCGAAGGAACTCGGCTGTTCACCACGAGGTGTCATAACTCTTCTAAGTGAAAACCTTCTAACTCCTGAGGCAGATTTTAATTGTTTGGATTATTTTTTCTCTTAGCGTTTTTAGGGTGTCATTTTTCTACGGGATGGGGTCTCTAACCCCATACCCAACCCTCTCCTTTATCCGAGCTTGGGACCGGTAGTAACCCCTGAGAGGCTCCAGGCGGAGTTTTTTTTTTGTGACTACCAACTGATATCAGCTGAGATGTAATTGGTATTCAAAAAACATTGGATAGTTACTTTTTCATGTCAGAATAAAGTATCCGAATCACAAAACTGTCATGAATCAAATCCATTGTTTCGAAATCTTCCATTGAATGTCTTTCTTTTATTCTCCCTCCCCCGTGTTCTGATTTGACAAGGATTATTTCCACAAACTATAAGGAAACAATCTTTACAAAGCTCTATGATGATCAATACTTTTCAAGCTGATTACGTCCAATAACAAAAAATATCATTTTCATATCGAAATATCAACTTTAATCCCAGTATGGAAATTTATAATAACTAGTTTCATTTTCCTACCGTTAAATTTATGAGAAATGACCATTTTCAACTTATTCAAGGATAGCTCAATCCAAGAATGTCCAGATTTGTTTTATGTTCCTTTCTTTGTTAGACATAAGTTCAACCGAGGGAATTCAATGCACGAACCTGTCTGTGCTGATTATATATACATGCTCACTAGTTACTGGCTTCAAGATTTATTTTCTGGAGTTCTAGTGAGAAGCAGTGGCTAGTGGAGTTCAACCAGATCTGTTTGGAGATAGTTACTCATTGAAGACAACGGTGGATGTGTCGCTCAATTTTTTGGATTAGTTGAAGTTAGACATTAACAGTGTTGGGTGACGTCTGGCTCATGGTGTAGAGGTTAAGTGTTCGCGTGCGAGATTGATGTATCGTGGGTTCGAATTTGATGAGGCGGGATCGTGGATGTGCAGTACTGAGGAGTGCCGTACCAGGACGAAACGGCCGTCTAGTACTTTCAGGTTTCTCATGGTGGTCTATCTTCAAATGACTCATGATCTCAACTATTGAAATTACTACAATCCCCACAATAATCCCTTCTGATAATTATTAGAAGAAAGCTTCGTATTAGCAAAGTAGCATCAGTATAAGATGTTCTTTATCGTTGAACTGATCAACTATTCAATAAATTTGATGACATTTCATAAATTAATCACAAAGGTGTAATTACATTCATCCCTTATTTCCTCTTAAAAATAAAAACATGACAACCTATCATAGTTATTTTGTTAGTGTGGGGGTTGTAATGAATTCATTTCCTCTGTAAATTGTCCTAAGATATTACATTTTAGACATAATTGTAAATATTGACCAATTTTCTATTGTTTCAACCGCACATCTTATTAACTCATTCCATCACTGTACCATCATTCACGGTGGATCATTCAAAAGATTGACCTATCCTTTTCTCATACATCTATTTTATTACCATAAATTGAAATATGAATAATGAACAGGAATTCATAAGATATTATAGAGGAAGAATGTATTTGTAAAATCTTAACGAATTCAACGTTTTGCTTGGCAATCTAATTCAAGCTTTTTTTAAAGGAACTATAGAATTCTATATCGAAATGATCGAATATGAATAAATGTATACATGGTTCTTCATCTGGTTCATTGAAGTTCCAGGTCGCTTGTTTGAATATCTAGGCGATTTGTTCCTGCTATCTGGATATTTCAACAAGTTATCTGTTTTCTTTGCATGTTTATTTTAAAACATTATTATGCGTATTAGTTGTAGAAACTATGTAAGAGCATTTGTGACAAGTTTACAAGATTTCATCCAGTCAGAGACATTATAGTTGCTGGCAGTATTCATCGAAAAGAATGTACATTATGTCGATTTACTGGACTCTTAAGACCTAACTAGCGATAACTCAATATTTACCATAAGGATCGATCAAAAATAAGAAATGGGAAACTTCTTGAAATACTTTGTACTGAGAATTCTATATTGTACCAAATATACAACACTGAATAAAGCTAATAATAATATTACCTACTTACTTACTTACGCCTGTTACCCCCAATGGATCATAGGTCACTGGCCAGCATTCTCCAACACACTCTGTCCTCCGCCTTCCTTTCTAGTTCCACACAATAGTTGTTCATTCTTCTCATGTCTGTCTCCATTTCTCGGTGTAATGTGTTCTTCTTTCGTCTTCCTCTTCTCCTTTATGTAGCCTTGGGATTCCAAGCGATGACGGCTTGCCTTGTGACACACAGTTCGGTGCTTTCCTCAATATGTGTTCTGTCCACCTCCAGAACTTCTTCCTCATTTCTTCCTTCATTGAAATCTGGTTTGTTTTCTCCCATAGTAGATTGTTGCTGATAGTGTCTGGTTAACGGGTTGGAAGTATTTTGCATAGACAACTGATAAAAAACACTTGTATCTTCTGGATGATGGTTTTAGTAGTTCTGCAACTTTCCGGTCCATACAGTAGAATTGTCTTGATATTTGTATTGAAAATTCTGACAGTTGCTTTGAGTTCCAGATATTCTTCGGTTGTAAATATGCTCCTCTTACTTTACCGATCCGCGCTTTCACATCTGCATCATATCCACCATGTTCATCAACGATGCTGCCCAAATATGCAAAGGTTTTTACATCTTCCAAATCTTTTCCATCAAGTGTGATTCGATTGTTGCATGCTGTATTGCATCGGAGAATCTTGCTTTTCCCTATCTGTATGTTTAGACATACTGCTGCTGAGGCTTATGTTACACTGATCATCTTCTCCTGTAATTGTTGTTGCGCGTGCGATAGAAGAGTCGGATCATCTGCAAAGTCTTGATCGTCCAGCTCGCTAAAAAAGCGCTAACCAAAGAAATGATAATATTAATAATAACAACAATACTGAATAAGAAGTTAAATCACCGTTTGAATGATTTTTTTAAAATATTTTACATATTAACTACATGTAGTAATAGTAGTAGTAGTAGTAGTAGTATTGGTAGTAGTAGTAGTAGTATTGGTAGTAGTAGTAGTAGTAGTAGTGGTAGTATTGGTAGTAGTAGTAGTAGTAGTAGTAGTATTGGTAGTAGTAGTAGTAGTAGTAGTGGTAGTAGTATTGGTAGTAGTAGTAGTCGTAGTAGTAGTAGTAGTATTGGTAGTAGTAGTAGTCGTAGTAGTAGTAGTAGTATTGGTAGTAGTCGTGGTAGTAGTAGTAGTAGTAGTATTGGTAGTAGTAGTAGTAGTGGTAGTAGTACTGGTAGTAGTAGTAGTAGTAGTAGTAGTAGTAGTATTGGTAGTAGTAGTAGTCGTAGTAGTAGTAGTAGTATTGGTAGTAGTCGTGGTAGTAGTAGTAGTAGTAGTATTGGTAGTAGTAGTAGTAGTAGTAGTAGTAGTAGTATTGGTAGTAGTAGTAGTAGTAGTAGTAGTAGTAGTAGTAGTAGTATTGGTAGTAGTAGTAGTAGTAGTAGTAGTGGTAGTAGTATTGGTAGTAGTAGTAGTAGTAGTAGTAGTATTGGTAGTAGTAGTAGTCGTAGTAGTAGTAGTAGTAGTAGTAGTAGTGGTAGTAGTACTGGTAGTAGTAGTAGTAGTAGTAGTAGTAGTAGTATTGGTAGTAGTAGTAGTAGTAGTAGTAGTAGTAGTAGTATTGGTAGTAGTATTGGTAGTAGTAGTAGTAGTGGTAGTAGTACTGGTAGTAGTAGTAGTAGTAGTAGTATTGGTAGTAGTAGTAGTCGTAGTAGTAGTAGTAGTATTGGTAGTAGTAGTAGTAGTAGTAGTAGTAGTATTGGTAGTAGTAGTAGTAGTAGTAGTAGTGGTAGTAGTACTGGTAGTAGTAGTAGTAGTAGTAGTAGTAGTAGTAGTATTGGTAGTAGCAGTAGTCGTAGTAGTAGTAGTAGTATTGGTAGTAGTCGTGGTAGTAGTAGTAGTAGTAGTATTGGTAGTAGTAGTAGTAGTGGTAGTAGTACTGGTAGTAGTAGTAGTAGTGGTAGTAGTATTGGTAGTAGTAGTAGTAGTAGTATTGGTAGTAGTAGTAGTCGTAGTAGTAGTAGTAGTAGTAGTATTGGTAGTAGTCGTAGTAGTAGTAGTAGTATTGGTAGGAGTAGTAGTATTGGTAGTAGTATTGGTAGTAGTAGTAGTAGTGGTAGTAGTATTGGTAGTAGTAGTAGTCGTAGTAGTAGTAGTAGTATTGGTAGTAGTAGTAGTCGTAGTAGTAGTAGTAGTATTGGTAGGAGTAGTAGTATTGGTAGTAGTATTGGTAGTAGTAGTAGTAGTGGTAGTAGTACTGGTAGTAGTAGTAGTAGTAGTAGTAGTAGTAGTATTGGTAGTAGTAGTAGTCGTAGTAGTAGTAGTAGTATTGGTAGTAGTCGTGGTAGTAGTAGTAGTAGTAGTATTGGTAGTAGTAGTAGTAGTAGTAGTAGTAGTAGTATTGGTAGTAGTAGTAGTAGTAGTAGTAGTAGTAGTAGTAGTATTGGTAGTAGTAGTAGTAGTAGTAGTAGTGGTAGTAGTATTGGTAGTAGTAGTAGTAGTAGTAGTAGTATTGGTAGTAGTAGTAGTCGTAGTAGTAGTAGTAGTAGTAGTAGTAGTGGTAGTAGTACTGGTAGTAGTAGTAGTAGTAGTAGTAGTAGTAGTAGTAGTATTGGTAGTAGTAGTAGTAGTAGTAGTAGTAGTAGTAGTAGTATTGGTAGTAGTATTGGTAGTAGTAGTAGTAGTGGTAGTAGTACTGGTAGTAGTAGTAGTAGTAGTAGTATTGGTAGTAGTAGTAGTCGTAGTAGTAGTAGTAGTATTGGTAGTAGTAGTAGTAGTAGTAGTAGTAGTATTGGTAGTAGTAGTAGTAGTAGTAGTAGTAGTGGTAGTAGTACTGGTAGTAGTAGTAGTCGTAGTAGTAGTAGTAGTATTGGTAGTAGCAGTAGTCGTAGTAGTAGTAGTAGTATTGGTAGTAGTCGTGGTAGTAGTAGTAGTAGTAGTATTGGTAGTAGTAGTAGTAGTGGTAGTAGTACTGGTAGTAGTAGTAGTAGTGGTAGTAGTATTGGTAGTAGTAGTAGTAGTAGTATTGGTAGTAGTAGTAGTCGTAGTAGTAGTAGTAGTAGTAGTATTGGTAGTAGTCGTAGTAGTAGTAGTAGTATTGGTAGGAGTAGTAGTATTGGTAGTAGTATTGGTAGTAGTAGTAGTAGTGGTAGTAGTACTGGTAGTAGTAGTAGTAGTAGTAGTATTGGTAGTAGTAGTAGTCGTAGTAGTAGTAGTAGTATTGGTAGTAGTCGTGGTAGTAGTAGTAGTAGTAGTATTGGTAGTAGTAGTAGTAGTAGTAGTAGTAGTAGTAGTATTGGTAGTAGTAGTAGTCGTAGTAGTAGTAGTAGTATTAGTAGTATTGGTAGTAGTAGTAGTAGTAGTGGTAGTAGTATTGGTAGTAGTAGTAGTAGTAGTAGTAGTATTGGTAGTAGTAGTAGTCGTAGTAGTAGTAGTAGTAGTAGTGGTAGTAGTACTGGCAGTAGTAGTAGTAGTAGTAGTAGTAGTAGTATTGGTAGTAGTAGTAGTCGTAGTAGTAGTAGTTGTATTGGTAGTAGTAGTAGTCGTAGTAGTAGTAGTAGTATTGGTAGTAGTAGTAGTAGTAGTGGTAGTAGTACTGGTAGTAGTAGTAGTAGTGGTAGTAGTATTGGTAGTAGTAGTAGTCGTAGTAGTAGTAGTAGTAGTATTGGTAGTAGTAGTAGTAGTAGTAGTAGTATTGGTAGTAGTAGTAGTCGTAGTAGTCGTGGTAGTAGTAGTAGTAGTATTGGTAGTAGTAGTAGTAGTAGTAGTAATCGTAGTAGTAGTAGTGTGGATAGTATTGCTTAATTGATTTTGCCTCATTTTTGTTTCATTGATATGTAGTTGTTAGTTAGTGAATTACATTTTATTCTTTACTATAAACATAAAATGATTGTTAATGATTTTCATTCAAATTAATTTATTGATTAAATCTAATAAATAAAAAAATAATGAATTAATTAATTATAGTAAATAAATAAATTAACAATACAGATATTGATTTATTGATTTTCTTAATTGATTATAAACAATTACATTTATCTATTTCACTTAAATAAATAAGTTCACTAATTAGATATTATAATCTTAAGGTCACCTATTTTCTATATATTAATGATACAATAATCATATATAAACAAAGATAAGTAGTGTTTAGTAATGGAAACTTACTTACTTACGCCTGTTACTCCTAATAAAGCATAAGCTACCGACCAACATTCTCCAACCCGCTCTGTCCTGTGCCTTGTTTTCTAGTTCTATCCAACTCCGCGTGGAGTCTCTCCGGGGGCTACTGCCGGTCCCAAGCCCAGATAAAGGAGGAGGGTTGGGCATGGGGTTGGCAACCCCATCCCGTAGAAAACTAACTCGCTAAAAAACGCTAACCAGAAAAAATTATTCAAACCTTTTAAACTCTGTCCTGGGAGTCAGAAAGTCTTCATTTAGAAGAGTTATGACGCTTCATAATGAAAGCCGAGTTCCTTCGGAAGTCATGAGGCCGACACCCCTTTTGACAACTAGAGCAACCATTTATTTAGGTACATGGAATTTTAGTGGAAAATAGAATAAGTATTTTGTCATATATGGGACTTGTCAGCTAAATGTACTTGTATCTCATAGTTGGTGTTCTCTCCAGGACTCGAACACAGTACCATTCGCTTCAAATGCCATGGTGTTATCCACTTAGCTACTGAGTCCTGATAGCCACTTGCTTGTGCAATGCAGTTAGGTTTTAAATTCACTCGTATTTTCCTAGTTTTATTTAGGACTGCAATTGATCATTAAGTTGTCGGTATATATGTATGGTGTACGTATTACATCGATATTCCCTTAAGTCACAAGCATTCTAGACAATACGGATGGTGGCTAACAGTAGAATGTAGGACGCGCATTTCAAACGAAAGACTGATCAATTACATCAATTATAATCATTGATTTTAAGATGTAATCATCTTTACTTAAAAACAAAGAATGGTCATTATTCATAATCATATATTCTTCACACTATGATAATAAGTGTTATTAATTTTTCTCCATGAAGAAGTAATACAAAATCATGTTGTAAAGCAAGTTCAACCATGTCTATGAGCGAACCAGAAAAAAAAAGAATAAATATTTACCTAAATAAGAGGACCGATATACTTTGTAGCGAAATCTGAATGACAATGGAAATGTTTTAAGATAATGGTTAAATTAAAATTTGTTCTAAAAAAAGTTTAATATCAGACGTTTTAGGGAGATTTCATTAGTTGTGATCATGAGCTAATTGAAGCTAGACCTCTAATGAAAACTGTCCTATTGTGAGATCCTCGGTGGCAGTGTACATCCATGATCACGTCTCGAGAGATTTGAACACAAGACCTATCAGTCTCGCACTTGAACACTTAACCTCTACACCGATGAGCCGGACGGCATCCAACAGTGTTAATGTCTAACTTCAATTAATCCACGAAATTGAACGACACATCCACCACTTTATTCAGTCAGTTACTATCTCACAACAAACCCAGTTAAACTCCACTAGTCACTGCTTCTCATTAGAACTCCAGAAAATGCCTATTGAATCCACTCATTAATGAGCATATGTTGATTAATATGAGAAGGAGTTTTTTGTGGATATTCTAGTAATTTCATTAGTTGAGATCATGAGTCAATTGAATCTAGATCACCATGGAAATCCTGGAAGCACTGATTGTGTATGCACGCTGCTAAGTAGCCCCATAATAGAACGAAACAGTTATTCAATGCTTTCAAGTTTTGCAAAATGGTCTAGCTTCAATTGACTTATTAACTCAACTATTAATAACAATTCCACTGATTGAAATCATGAATCAATTGAAGCTGAACCACCATGGAAAACCTAGAAGCACTTGACGGCCTTTTCGTCCTAGTATGGGACTCCTCAACAGTGCGCATCCACGATTCAGCCACTCGCGAGATTCGAACACAGGACCTATCAGTCTCGCGCCAGGGGCTTAACCAACTAGACCACTGAGCTGGCTGACATACAACGGTGTTAATGTCAAACTTCAACCAATCCACAAAGTTGAGGCACCGTACACCATTGTCTTCAGTGAGTTGATATCTCATAACAAACATGGTTGAAACTTCACTGGTAACGGCTTCTCACTAGAACTCCAGAGTATCTCTTGAAGTTAGTCACTAGTGAGCAGATGATTATTATCAGAACGTGATGGTAATAATAATAATAATAATAATTTTTAGTTAAATAAATAATTTCAATGATTTTTATTGGTCAGTTTAATTAACCAATCAAAACTCATATTCAGCTATTTATGTCATGAATTACAATATTTACTTTTTTTGTTGGAAAATGTTATTACATCTTGTAAATGATTTGATTACATCATTAACAATATCATCATTTCAATGATCCATATTCGGGATCTTTGCATAGATCTTATAATAATCATCATAAGTAATCATATAAAGAAAACAAAAAGAGCGAGGGAAAGTCAAAATATTAACGGATACATTCGGAATACAATACATGCTATTATGTTTATTCATGAATCATTAAAAAAAAAAAGAAGATAAAATCATATTAAGAACTAATATAATGAAAGAATAATATTCACATTTAATAAATGAATTGGAATAAGATTAAAGAGGTAAGTAGTTTAAGGAATATTCATTATTCTTAATTGATTTTATTGTTTGTTTTCATTTTCTTGGTTCTTTTTTCTATTTAATTATTTCTTTTTAAAATTGAATGGTACAGTAAATCCGGTTGATGAAGTCCAGATAGGACGAAACGTGCTTCAAAATGTATTCCATTACTAAATACTATCTGTCTGTGCTTTTGTTTATTTGTTATTTTTATTTTATAAAGTCTAGAAATGGTTTATAATATTTATTACAGAATCTTGTTAGGAATATTGTAGTGAACAAGAACACGAGTGGGGACAACCAAATATATTCGGATATGAAATTACATAATATCTCAATACAATCTGAGATCCATATAGTAAATAGTCAATTTGCAAATATTAGTCTATTGTCTCAGATTTCATTATACATTCATTTTCATACGAAATGCTGTCTGTTCCCGTTCTTTCCTTCTTGAAATACATTCTATGCCTGACCACTGTTATATACTATTTATATGGATATAAGTAACTCATACCATAATATCACTTCACAGACGACTAATTTAAGTTGATATTTATAATGGTAGATTTAATTTAATGGAAGCTGAATGAAAATAATCAGAAGAGATAGGCTTGGATTTTGAGTTGTTTTTTCTGTTGCTAATTAATACCTGTTATTCAAGTACATCTGTAATCATGAATAATCAAGTTTATCATGAATTTGAATATGAGTTACTTTGTAACGATCAGTGATTATTTTAAAAACAAATAAGTTAAAGGTGTATATACAGATTTATCATAAAGTTACTAAGTAATGATCGGCTCCATCTCTCTCTCTCTCTCTTTCTGTGTGTGTATGTTAGAAGTACAATCAGTTAATTTCATTGAATATGTTGTTACATAATCAGTAAACTAAATGATTTATGTAAATATACATATACATATAACATCTAGTCATTTGAAAAGTACAGGGACAAGGTTTAAGTATATAGAATTATCAGTATCGGATTGTCGAGATTATTAAGTTTTTGATTGAGGTTATGAACTGAATGATGTTAGATCATTCAGTTCCAACGATGGTCTAACATCAATCCATTCATGATCTTAATCACATAAAATTAGTTTAATTCTAAATGAATAATCAATTCAAGCTATTTGTATCATTTCATGTAATTAGTTCTCTCCATGAATATAAATAAAGCCAGAACGAACATTGATGCAGATTAATATGAATTCATTATATTTCGTAGTTTCTCATCAGCTGCTTACAAGGGCTCTTAATAGTGCAATAGCTCACCATTTACTTGACATCGGGCATACCACTGACATTCCGTGTACTTTTAAAATTATTAACAGACAAAGAAATACTGCTTCCCTCCGTTTTGCTGAAACGATCACGATAAAACTAAACTCAAACCTGATCTATATATTTAAAATGAGACAGTAATAAACCTATTACTACCCTGGTTAATATTTAGTTTGTTATATTTCTCTTCCCATTACCTAATTCTTAAACCACACATACATTTCCACTCACTCGATTCTGTTAAACTATGTAAACTCTTCAAACCTATTCAATTATTACGTCACCCATCTTATCAGTTTTTAATTCCATGAATCTTATATAAACCCTGCATTACCTCTAGAATTATCAAACCAAATAATCTCTGACCTGTTCTTGCAAATATATATATATATATATAGTTATTATTGATAACCTTTTTCATTCCAATTCTTTACATTCAGTTATGTCAGTTGTTTCACACCTCAATGTAAAATTCTAATCCACATTTGGTTGTAAGCAACTGATGAGAAACTACGAACTAATAATGAATTCACATTATTCTGCATCAATGTTCGTTCTGACTTTATTTCTATCATTTAGAGAAAATAATTTATCACAATAAGTTTAGGCACTTTATTATTATTTATTTTTTTTTCTGTAAACATTAAACTAAACTGTTGTCAGAAAAGAGAAAACCTTATTTATAAAGGAATTATTTTTCAACTACATAAAATAATTTAAAATCTATGATTATTTCTTGTTATTGTCTATTAGTTCTGAATTAGAGTAGTAACCAAGTACATGTGTCAAAGTATTAGATCCTCATCAGGTTTTATTCTAATAGACAGTCATGTTTCCATAGGCATATACGAGTTCGTCTACAAACTGATGCCTCCTAACGTTCTGTCTGATAAGGTCGCAAAGAAAGA